CAGAGAGGAGGCTAAGCTTGCCAAGATCAAACAAAGCTTGTGGTAGAAAAAGAATTTGCAATCAAGTCTTCCAAGGGCTAGACTATCACCTCAACTAAGCTGCAGTAAATCTTCAGCTGTCACCAAAACACATGAAATTTGGGGATTAGAATACAATTAAGGAAATCCCAAATCATGAAACAACAGCTGTGAACTTAAAAGCAGATATAACATGCATTTGTATGCAGTTCATGAATGCATATATACAGATGCCTTCCAAAACATCCATAGCATGTGCAAATGTTAAGGATCAATTTAATAAAATCTTAAATTTAAATGCTTTTGAATTTGTGAATAGCCTACTTTTTTATGTCCTATTTTTCCTGCATGATTCTGAACCTCTTGTCAGACAAGCTCTCCTAAACCTGAGTTTCAGAATATCTGTGCAGCTACTGAACTGCATGTAGTCTGCTTGTTAACAAGAAATGAAGCTGGAAGTTAAGTTAAGTCACTGCTAATTAAACTCATAATTACAAATGGAAGGTCAGACAGCAGATCCAAGGGCTGTTTGAAAATGTAATAAGACAAAAGAAAGAACAAACTTGCATGTAATAATTCAGCTGTTACTTGGCAGACTGACCCATTAGAAGACTTCTCAGCATACAGTTCTGAAGGCAAATATTAGAATAATAAGTACAAATCATTTGTGTTTAAACACGTTTGTCAAGGATTAACACAGGATCTAAACATTACCTAGATTTCTATTTTAAAACAAAAATTAAGAATTGCTCATTTACAAAGTTAGAACATGGATCATGGCTTCCCAGCCTGAGCTCCAAAGTGGTTGCCACCAGGACATTCACAAAAAATGCCTTCTCCTTTGGAACCAGGGTAACATCTCGCTCCTCTGCCCATGTGCGGTTGGGAAATCTGCTTGGTGATTCACTGCCCTGCCTGTGAATCTCCACAAATGCAGAAATCCTGAGGTAACCAGAGCGTTGCCTTTGTTCCCTGGTTGTGAGGTTGGGGCAGAGAGAAGAGGAGAAGAGCACAAGAATTTGGACAGAAGGCTCAGAGAAGCAGTATTAAAGAACAAAACAGTGCAGAAGTAGCAACTGCTAGCAACTGTAAATGGAGGACAGTCAAGGAAGGTTCACACTATTTTCTGCTATCCTTGATCTCCTGAAGAGCCAAGGTTTTGAGGTGGGTCTCAAACTTCGTGTTCTGACCCTTCCCACCGCCCTGTCACACCAGGACGAGTGACGAGCACACAGGACACGGCAGGAGCAAGGCAGCATGTGCAGCTGTGCCAGATCAGGAAGCCAGTGCCTCTCCTCGTTATCACGCTTGAGACGAAACCATTGAAGAGTTGGGAAAATCCAAGGAGAAGGATTTTTGTTCTGTCCAAGACAGGCACATTTCTTACATGGAATGTGGGCACCTGGACAGCAAAGCAGTTGGGAACCTGTTTGGGATTTAGAAAGTCTCTCTCAGGAAATACAGAAATACAGGCAGCATATCAAAGCTGCTTTCTGCTGTGCCTCCTACTCTGAGTATTTCACCTTTCTGTGAGTGACAGGCAGTCCCTGAAACTCATGGCAGGGTGGAAAAGCCTTGTGAGATTTGCCAATACCAGATTTTAAAAAAATATATTCCTTCATCAACAGGCTTTCATCTGACATGCTAATTCTAAAAATCTGACTTCCAACAGTTCAACTGTGCTTCAGTGAATGTCTCACCAAGCTCCCTCAATAAATATCATTTATGATTTCTATGACACACTTGTTTTGCAGTGAAATTGTGGAAGTAGTGATCACTGGGTTGACTGACACCTAGTTTTTCAATCAAACATACTCCTATTCTGCTAGTCATAGACCACGTATGTCAATTTTGATGCTGAAACAACTTTTATTAGGCATTTTGGAGGGGGCTTGGGAAGAAAATCGGTCTTGTAATGAAAATCTTAACTATGTGGCAGCTACTGCAGCACCATAATACTATTTTCTCTCCTGCTGGCAATTTAGCAGCAGCACTGAACACCAAAGGGTTTCTCTATGGAGAGTGAGATCACAGCACATATTTACTGAGAAGATGGGGGGTTGGTTTCTTAACAATGGAAGTATACACAGATGGAATTGGTAGTTCTCAGCTGGTGAACAAATTTTCAGCTATAACTCATTGTGCCTCTTTGGGTGGGAAAAATGGATTTCACATAAGTATTCTTTTCTGCGTCCATGAAAGATATAATGCGGGCAAGCTGAGTGGCAGATTTAGAAAGGCAAAAATAGCCATTTCACATCACACGATGCTGAAGCTAAGTAGTACTGGGAGCCAAGGCACCAGGCCACGATGCATTCATGTAAGGTAGTAATTTACTTTCTCAGGAAAAATATTTGTTCTAAATCTGACACAACATTTTATAAGATGTTTCTCCTAAAGAGTGGGGACATGAAAATATCTTCATCATAGCTTAGAAATAGATGAAGGCTCAACAGAGTTTCCAGAGAACCTATTTCTTTACCCCATCTCCTCTCTCCTAAGGCACTAGCAGTTTTTGATGAGAAGGATTAGTCCAAATCTCTCTCTCTCTCTCAGAGTAGTAGGATCTTGGCGAGATTCTGCAAACTTTGTAAAATAGCCATAAGCAAGCCAAGACAAGCAAGTCCCTTAACTATCTCAGTTATTGCAACCAGTAATCAAATCAAAGAGCTTTTTGACAGCTACCATTTCAGATTACCTCAGGAATGATTCAGGTGCCTAAGCCAAAGCATGTGGGACTACTTTAGACACCCCAGGCAATATGAATAATCCACATTGTGGCTGACAACACATCATGGAGACCCTTGCCCTTGTAGCCAAGTAGCTGGAGCACAGGCAGTGAACCTTATGGCAACTTAAATTACTTTAGACTTTTATGTTTTGGCACTTGAATTGCTCTGCTGGTGTTTGCAAATCACAGTAGAGTGCTTTCTTCCTTCTGTATCCTCACCTTGTACAAGGGGATGTGATATCGGGAACCTGCAAAGTGGCAGCTACTGTTAGGTATAGAAAGGCATTTAATTATAATTCTTCAGCTGCCATCTCTAACAGTAGAAGGATGTCTGGGCTCTAAAGTCCCAAAACAACACCAAGCAGTTCCTTTACCCAAATAACTTCTCTCCTCCTCAAGGTTCTTAGCAATGTCCTTTCATTTTAATAAGAAGGGGAATCAAAACCCCTTGTAAATGTTGTAATAGCTCAGCCTCAAAGGCCTCATCTAATAATTCATAGTTCTGCTCTTAAATCTGTGTCTTTTTTTTTGCAGATTCCTCACTGCATTTCACCCCAACTTCTGTCCTCCTCTGAACTTTGCTGAGTTTTGGGAAGTGCTCAGTAGACCAAACAGGTAATTTCTTCTGCCATGAAGGAACTAAAACTTTCACAAAGTTTTCAGAAGACCATTGTTCAAGCTTTCCAGATAGCTATTTGTGTCTTGGGTTTCAAGAGCAATTTATTCATTGAGCTTAACCTTATTCCCATTACAGCCAGGCCTCACAGACACTCTGTAGTAGTTTTATTCTATTTAGTTTCTCATGTTATTTCCAGAAATTACTTGCAGTTCTTATTTATGTTACTGTTAAAACCCACTTATATTGGCCAAACTAACAGAAAATTAATTTGAAAACAAAGCTTGTTATGGTTTGGGGCTGGTTTTATTGTTATTATAACACTATATCCATACAAAACATTATGTTACCTCCAAGTACACAAGTTAAAAACTGGAAATTCTGTTAAATTTATGTTCATGAGAAATGCACTTATTTATGTCCTTCTGTGCAGATACAACAGAGAAGGCAAAAGCAGTTTTTTAAGTGCCAGCCTCACCTAAGTGCCAATGCCTCTGTTTCAGGTGCCGAGCACAAACAGTACAGTCCCAGTTTTCCCAGTACAACCCCAAATGAGACCAGCAGAGTAATTGTGCCACTTTCTAGCACCTAAAATCCTTGGCTAAGCATTTTCTAGGAGGAGAGTCTGTGTTACACTGCCTGTCATCTGACCACCTCTCCTCTCCATCACCATTAGATCAAACATGAGATATCAGGCTCTAATTCTGTCAGCACTGACTGCGGAAGACCAACAGCCTTCCCAGTACTCCATGCCAGTGTGAAGGTGGAAATTTTGTCCATGTCTTGAGAGAAAAAATGAAAACATTCTTTAGCCTTTAAATTTGCTGAAGAAAAACAAATTACACACACACACACAAATTGCTACCAAACAACCAGCAGCTCTCAAGCTGCTCAGAGGCCTGGTTTATTGAAAATATTCTCATTGGGTATGGATTAGTAGGCAAATGGCAGGGGAAAGAAGTCAAAGGTGCAAGATAAATTGGGTTTGTTACAGAAGCTGTAATTTATCATCACAATATTGCCAACACAACTGTAGAGAATTATATATAAATTTAATAAAACAACTGCTATATTACATCTATTATCCAGGAGTCAGGTTCAGTTATCTTTTCCTCCTTGAGAAGAAGCTTTTTCTGCAAATAATGTCACTGAATCTGGCCATTTATATTTTGGCCATTTATATTTTAAAAGACCGCCTATATTACCCTACCTGCAAATAACAGTGTAAACAACAGTGTATATCAAAATATTGAGAACATAAAGTTACACATTGAAGGTGAGAAGTGAAATGTTATATAGTTCCCTAGAGGTGACAGTTCCCTCTGATGTTCAACAAAGAAATAAAGACAGCTGAAGCAGTGAGAGCTTAAGGAAAATATATATAACATGAAAGACCTCTCCTCTGGAAAAATACACAATTAAAGTGCCATTGTCCCCTCCATGCACCTGTCAAAACTGCTTGGGAGTTGTTGGAGTGCAGGTAAAGAGTGGGGGATAAAAGAAAAACAGCCGCTGCAAATAAGCAGAGTATTTTATTAGACAGTTATCTCTTTTTTGCAAGAATGAGTGCTCAAATGGATAATACCTTTCTGTGAAATCCAGGTTTCCAGCTTTGTGTTAAGAAGAGGCTCTTACCTTATGGGATTATCCATCCTTGATACTGTGAGAAATGCTGCTAAGTTTGCTGTGTAGGAAGAGCACACGATAAGGGTGAAGAGCCACCAGCTTCCCATTACAATGCGCATAGCCACAGAATTGACAGTAGATTCACCCCCTACAAATAAACAGAGAAAATGAGGGTCTCTCAGCAGCTTCCATTTACAATCACCCTCCGTGTGCCCTGTTACATTGAATTTTGCTGGAGCTACCCCTCTGCATTTCTGCTTCCCCTTCAGACTCTCCTTTCACTGTGAGAAAAGCACTGCTTCTGTTAAGACCGATGATTTACAAACATTTTCTCCACTCAGGGTCTTGCCTTGGATACTGTGCCAGAAAATAATCTTTCAATATATTTGCCTTAGGAATAATTCAGGATCAAAATGAAAAATATTCTAAATAAAGACAATTTAATGGTGAAGTGTGAATAATATGCAGGAATTAAATCATTACAGTGTTCAGAATGTAGTAATATTCTGTTTTCAATTACCGTTTTGGATTTGCAAAAAACCCACAGAACTGTCTCATGGTTTGTGTGCTATCTGTGCTGTATTTAAATCTGCAAAGACTGAAGCATTACTGTCATTACTTGTAACTCTTTACATTTCAAACAACGTGAAGATTTCTTTCTAGTAAGGTTCAAGCACAGTTATGCTTGAATGTTGTTGGAGACCAAACCTTACCATATAGCTGATGCTAGTCACTTGAACATAAGTTTGTGCTGATTATATCTTACTGCACTTAAACCTATCAGGGATGGCACCGTAACGAGATGAGGGACCAAGTTTCAAAGCAATAGTAAGGATTTTCCAGCTGAAGCTTTATAAGTTTGCAATTATGATGAAAAAAGTGTAGAAAAAAGTTAACAACATACCCATATGCTAGCATTCAACAAAACCTGCCTTCCAAGAATAGTACTAATATTATAGATATGGGACAAAAACTGCATGGGCAGATTTTGCAAACAATTATTTGCAAAAGTAACTTTGTTAATGGTAGCAATCCTACTGAATTCCAGAGGATTAGTCCTATGCCTAGAGATTCCTGAGTGTAAAACTTGTTACATGACTACAAGTAATTTTCCTATTCAGTTCAAAGAACTAAGAGATAAACTGTCTCACATTAGTTCAAAAACATATACATTTCTAAAATTAAATGTAAACAACTAGAAAAGGTGCTAGTTTCAGAGTTGGAGAAGTATTATAATTCCAAATGAAGCAGTTCTGTAGTTTATTTATTGCATGGTAATTTTCCCAAAGTGCAAAAGCCTGCTAGGAGTGTTTTTTCTGGACTTACTGAGAGACAGAAAAGCAGAACATACTCTCCCCAAAGCACAGCACCCCCCCCCCCCCCCCCCCAATACCTACCTCTTCCCACTTTTCATCAGCTGGGCTGATGAAACATATTACCTCCCCATATGAGCCTTCTCTTTCATCTTTAGACCGTTCTGGTCAAGACTAACATGTCCTGACATGCTTTACCCAAGGCAGAAAATTTCTGAACATCCGTCAGTGGTGTTTACAAGAGAGCAAGTACCTTGCTGAACAAAGGCGCCGTATACGACCCAGATGGCACTGTGGAGGGTGGAGGAAGCAGAAGGGCTTGGCTGGGAAGCGTTCTGTGCCCTGACTGCCTGGATCCGGTTCAAGACAAATATCAAGACACCAACTATAGGGATGGCTGCAGCAATGCAAGCCCACACCGCAAAGTCGAAAGGAGCAAAGAGAGAGAAGATGTTGATTTTCTCTTCAGGCTTTTTGATTAAGATCCCCACGGAATAATCCATGTACCGCTTGCTGAAGTCCACAACACTCTCTCGTTCTGGTGTTATAGTGATGGCTGAGATGGCTAGGTCTGCTCTCTGCGAGACAAATGCAACAGATGAGATCTCTTCCTTTCACCATGAATTTGGCCAGCATGAGCCTTGAGGAGAAACTTTTTAAGAACCAAGTGACTCCATGCATTCCCTTCTATAACTTAGCATATTTGGACAAATTTACATAAATTGTTGAAAAATAAAACCAGATTCAGTTTTATCATTTGAATAGTAGTTAATTGCACTGGTCTAAAGCACAGCAGTGAAACATAACCTGTCAACGTACTCTAGAACAAAAGGCATCACCCTAACTACTCTCTAGAATGAGTGAAACTTATTTAACCTTTATCCCTCACTTGTTTTCCAAAGGATGCCTAAAACTCCCAACCATATTAACATGGTGCACTGAAGCAGTAAGAAAGAAACAGCATTTATTTAGCCTGTGTATTTGATAGGAAGGTGTGAAGAGCTAATGTTTGTTTGTCTCCTTGCAGAATTGCCAACTTCCCATATTCATGAAGGGATTTCATATGACAACTGAGGGGAAGATTTTGTTTTTTACAATGAATAAAGCGACTGCAAAAACTAGTAACTGGTAGAAGTAGCTCAGCTCCTGAAACTGCTTTGACCTCAACATTTAAAATGAGTAGGTTTTAGATGTAGAGTGTTCTTAAAGAAAATGCAAACTCAATGAAAGATGAAACAGGAGTTAATAAATAAGATTCCCAAAGCTTTTAAAGAGCTGCATTTAGATTTTGAATATTGTTCCATCTTGATAAAAAGAGTTCTCTTCAAAAAATAGAATGAACATTTTGTTTCCTATCTCTACATTTTGTTAGGAAAGTAAAGCAAAAGTTAGGTGAGGGAAGTCTGCTTTGAGATCATTTGGAGTCAGTGGAAAAGCTAGTACCATTTAAAAAATGCCGTAATAGATACTTTGTTGCTTCAAAGAAAGCAATTTCCAAATAAATTTAACAGGATTTTTTACCACATTTTCAAATCAATGAAATCCAAACAGCTTATGTCAATGCAAAATAAGTAAAAAATTCTTTATATTTCATAGTACCAAGAAAAGAATATCCCATTATCATACACACATTTGCTATTGCTTTAATTGCTTCTATTTCTTTCTAAACATCTACTTACCAGATACTGAGCCGCCTACTTACTAGATAATGGGAAAGCTTTCACTTTCAGTAATAACTCCACTGCAGAAGAGTAACCTTTTCTACAAAGGGCAGCAACATGGAATATTAATTCCTTTGATTCTCCTTCTTGATTAACATTTGTCCCATGTCAGATAGCAAGAACATGAACAAAATACACTCTTAATTTCTTTCTCCGGGAGATTCTAAGCTATGAATTTTCCCCACTTATTTCAATGGAGTTCAATTAACTTACTCTTGATATGCAAGACTGTAATTAAGAAAAGAAATTTGGTCCTCTCTGTTTTAAATTAATAATCTTGAGATCAGTTTAAATTCTGGTCCTTAAAAAAACAGTATGGTATATTACTAGGGACACTTTTTCCTATTTTGGAGTCAGTTTATCATTATCAAACACGTTGCCACGAATTGACCTAAATAAACTCACACCTACAAACAAGTAGCAAAGACATAATGAAAAAAATTAAAATAATAGTCATTAATATTTTGAGAAGAATACTTTTTTTTCTCTGTTTTCTATAGTCATTCACTTTCACACACGTACATGTCCTTTCTTCTTATTCTTACAGCTATGTAAATGTACAGATTTACACTGATATAGATTATCTTGAGAACAGTTGGGAGTAAATAGAACAGACTCTCTCATTCTTACTCTGTATACAGGGTCTGAAATTGCACAGTTTACACCACACTCAAACCACTCATAGCTCAGAAGCATTCTGCACTGGTACTTTCATCCTAATTCATTCTCTTGTAATTTGGAATGGAGGAAGGGCAGAATTTAAATCCCCTTACAAAGCTTTGGTACCCTGGTACCCTATTCCAAAAAGTCTTTTTTTTTCTCTTTTTTTTTTTTTTTAAATGCAGCTTCTTCTCTGTGTACCTTGTTAATGAGTTCTCCAATCATGCCGTTCCAGGAGCTGTTTTGGAGCTGCTGTCCATATTTACCATCAGGAGCTTGATATATCTCATACTTGAAGCCCAGATTCTTGGCAAGTGCATCCAGGACATCAATGGAAAATCCTTTATATCGTTTTGGTTGCCCAAGTATGTTTTCTGCCACCATCACAAAAGGTTCTTCCTGAGAACAAAACAATATCTTAACTGATACTTGAAACAAATTTTACAGTTTGCTTCTCTTAGCAAAAGGTTATTTCCTGAGTTAATTCTGGACAACTTGGCACAGATTTTGAGACACTCATAACCTTCTGAAGCAAAAACTGTAGGCCATGTGGGATACTATGAGGCATTCCAACCAGACACCATTGTATTAGCACCTGAGTCCTATCTATGGCCTTGGGTTTTCCATAGTTCTTGAGAAGAGGCAGAGACTCCAGAAGACAATTCAACCCCATCTAGCAGCTTCCTGGTGCCCATGGGATGAATTGCTCTCTGAAGTACCTGCCTCTTCCCACTGACTATAAAGAGGGCACAGACACCTACCTTAGTGTCCTAATTAGCCTTTTAGAATATAGATATTAAGTAAGTTAAGCATGTGAGCCCTAGACAGGAACATTACTACTGTCCATCTGTCTCAGACCATATCAGATTTAGAAAGTCATCTTTTACAGACAATGATTAATCTTTTATCCAGGAGACGTACTGAAACAAGAGCTAAAAATGCTGTGTTTTGTGAATATTTAAAATTTTGAAAATTCAAAGAATAACTTTCTTGGGTACAGGTTCCTGGAGTATTTTAAATTAAAGTATGTTTTGGGACCAAGGAAATGCGGCATTTTGTGGTATGTTTTCTGTCAGGCATAGGCATCCTGCTCTCATGTGGGGGAACGATGGGGCTGCCGGCCGCACAGCCACCAGAGTCATCCACCTTTGAAACCTGGTACTGACATTGTCATGGAAGGGATCTGCTCACTTCCCACGTAAGCTGCAGCATAACCTCACTTGTCACCATATAGAGAAAAGAAGTGCTTTAATGATTTTACGCGATACTTATTTGTACCATGATTCAGAAAAAGAGAAATGAAAAAACAGAAAAAGACACCACATTCTGCAATCTGCAAACTCCAGTATTTTAGGCAGGA